GACTGTTTTAACCTCTGACTGAAACCATGTTAGACAAAATTAGACTTCCACCTAATAGAGAATAAACCAAGAATGTCAACGTAAAATAAAAATAAAAATCGCCATGAACGTGTTTGTAAATAATGACATTAAAAAAAAACCGCTTGGATGGGACTAAGTCTACAAATTTTATCGTCTACGTCTACAAATACATAGTAAAATAGCAAAAAGTAAATATTCAAAAGCTGAAATAACATCATTGACAAATGAAATAAACAAAGGCGGCTTGACGAAACACCTGAAGACACTCGAATCTATTCAGAATTACTGCACTGTACCCATAACACTATAAGCTTAGCTATAAGAATAAATTGATAAACCGTGTCAAATGATTCGACAACAGCCATGTGGTGTAATTTTACATAACCCATCAAAAACATCACTAATAGACAGATTACACATATTAAATTCCACCGACATATCATTAAACACAAAATTCTCCTCCAAAGTCAATGACGAAATCAAAATAATCACTAAATAAGTTGGCTGTTCCTTGTATATCACCCGAAAATTCATTAACAAGAAGCACTTTAGCCGTTAAACCATTTTTAAGCTCTATGTACGAGATCTGACATTATTCTACTTGCAACCTAATCGGTGTATGTATATTGTTATAATGCACCACTGAATCGATTGTTGTCGGTGGGGCAATCGACTAAATAAATATGCAATTTTTTTGTTCTATAATAAAACCCGTCAACTGAAGTCCCATTTTAATTAATTAATGTTTTTAAGTAAACAGCTCAGAAATTATATATATATATATATATATAATTATATAATTATCACAAATATGTACATATTAATTATGTATAGAGACAGGTTGACACTTGTATTATATTTATATTATATTAATTTATTATATATTTTTATAATTAAGATTACATAGTATAAAAACCATATGAAAAATTGTTATGTACTTTAAAGTAATTAAATGTTTTTATTTTTGTGTCTATACTCTGGGCCCTCGATATCTCTTAAACAGCTGAACCGACGACATCTTGTAGCGAGTCTATCGATCAGAAATTTAACCTAAAAGTAATTTGAGTGGTCCAAATATTTAAAAACTTCATCCATTTCTCTAAAGAATCGAGAAAAAAAATATTTATACATTTCAAATTAAAATTACTCTGTTCATAACATTTTTTTAAAAAATATTCGAAATAGTTCCGATATTGTATGGAATATTCTTTAGAATATGCGTTGTTTGCTACCAATAATCGTTGGCAAGCCCCGCAGCCTACCATTTCCCGTCTTACAGCTACGTGCGTAGAATGCTATTATTAACCGTGTTGGTGTTTACACAGTCACTAAATACCTACACTTAAAGCCGCCGAATCGTGACTAATATTTGTTTTTAATGTTTATTTTTCGCGAAAAAAATATGTTTTTGTGGCGTTCAGCGTTCTAATTCCAAAAGTTGCTTACGGTAGTCGGTAACGACATTGGTAGTACTTGAAGTATTAAAAAAACATTAAGCTTTTCGACGGTAAAGTAAATAAATCTTTTCCGATGGATCACCGTGGTTCCCTTTTGTTGGCATTGCTGATTTGCGTTTACACTCTGACCGTGGACGCGTCACGAGTACATGAACCGGTTTTCAAAGGGCAATCGCTTCGGAACGATTTCACGTTTTTAAAAAAGTTGTACATGGGATACACGAATCCCGAACCACAAGCCAATACCGTGAAAGTGATCGAGAAAAACACACTATGCGGAATTCAAAATATATGTGTGTCGTTTATGCGAATGTCGGTGCCCACCTCTTATGATGCCAAGACTTTGAAGAGCAAGATAGAGTTGTTTAACGAAATTCCCCGAGACGCTCTGGTGATACTCTACAACATCAACGGCGGCGCCTACGACAGCAAGGTCCTCTTTTCGCTGTGGCTGCTCTATTTGTACGTTCAAGATTTTTTCTTTTATTGGGAAAAAATTACTGTCCAACAAATGGCCCAAGTGCACAAAATGATCACCAGACAACTGGCGGTGTCCATGAAAGACTGTCCAGGCAACAATCTTTACGACGTGTCCGACCCGCAGTCTCTGTACTATTCCCAGTTTAATGGTCAACTCGACCACGACAGTGTTACTAATCCTACACATTTTCCCCTGATGGTAAAACATCACTTTGACGAAATTCGTCCAAATCTGACGGAGGGTGCCAGCGGAGAAATCTACAAAATAATATCGGCCGACAACTTGCTCTTTGGCACTGAAAACTATGATGAGGCCAAATCTCAATTTTTTAAAATCCAACATATATATGGCAAATCCATCATATGGGGCGACACTTCCACTGTGTTGAGGGAAGCGTACGCGATGGCCAAAGATCCTATAAACCTGTACAGCCGGTTGCAAGGAACAAGGAAATATCGATCCCTGTACTTGACCGTGATAAAAATGGTCGTGTTGCGAATGTTTTGGATTCACTTCGTGCTGATCACCGACAAAAAAAGTCCGGAATCGACCGCCGCAATGCACAAGACGGCCAAATCATTTGGCAACATAATCGGTTTGAACGACGACAACTATAAGGAAACGGTTAATCTGTTCCAAGTGGAAAGTCCTTCGCCAGAATTTTCCAAAGCGGCTATCGAACATATTAGATCATATTTGAATGAAATATCTTCGGTGTTCCAAGACTGCATTGTTTCGGAGTTAGCCAATGCAGATGTTTTGGGGATGTACTCATATTTACCATATAGGGTAGACGGTAAAATCCCGACCGATTTACAGAAAAATTATGAGTTAGCTGCACATTTCATCGAAGAAGTCAAAGGTTATGTTCACACAGATTTCGCCAATTCAGTTTTAGCGCTGTCGTATGCGATCCCTGTGAACTTTTGATTACCAACATATTTTAATATAACATGCAAGCGATAAGAAAACGTTCTTATTATTTTTAATTTACATATAATATTATATTACTGAGCTCATATGTTTTAAATTGTTTAAATTGCACCGCCTTGTAGCTTCAAAAATACTCCATACTGAAATTAAATGTAAAACATGCATATTATACTTTATAATTAATATACATTTAAATATTCCTGAATAACTTTCCATGTGTTCAATTTTTATACTTTTATTTTTGTCTTCGACAAATAATAATGTAAGGTTTATCTAACAACATCACTTTTACAATATTATATGTTCATTGGACAGAAATTTAGTTTTTGTTTCTAACGTTTTGGTAATACCAAATCTAATATAGGTTATTTATGGCTAATAGAAGAAGTGAAATTAAAAAAACAAGAAATGGTAGATACGAATTGTATAATATTTTTTTTTATCATATATTTAAATTTTAACTCAGATTCAAAATCTCTAATATTCGGTAGACGATAAAATCCCGACCGATATACAGAAAAATCATGAGTTAGCTGCACATTTCATCGAAGAAGTCAAAGGTTATGTTCACACAAATTTCGGCAATTCAGTTTTAGCGCGGTCGTATGCGATCCCTGTGAATTTCCTGATTACCAACATATTTTGTGGTAGATACGCCAGCAGTGACTTGTATAATATTTGTTTTAATCATATTTTTAAGTCTTAACTCAGATTCAAAATCTAAAATGTGACTAGAAAAAGTCAATTTTCACACACCTTTTATAAATTAACATATTATTTGAAATGACACCCAAATCAAAGTTATCGAGTATTGTCCATTTTTTCCACATAATAAAAAAACTTATTCCGTTCTCTTCAATCCAATTATTGCTTAACTTTAGTTGGTAATTACTAGTTCTGCATTAGATATCTTTTTTTAAAATTTGCTGTACGTGGCAGTACTTTTTTTAGTATAATTTGCAGCCTTCAAATAAAAATATTCATAGTTTCATAGGAAACGTTGAACGGGTCAATGGCGAAGGTTTCGGAGTGGATTGAGGAGAACGATGACGGTGGTCCTAACTATCAAAAAAAGATATCCAGCTCGGTTGGAGCAGAAGGAACACCTGTGCTGTTTGGATGTGGACTACAGTAGTTTGTTAGTCTCCCACCTTGAGACATGACAATAATTCACAAATGTTTACAACAATTGTTATTTTTTATGTTTTTTACTGGACTATAGTAAAATGCAATGATATGGTGGTGTGTAAACGTTAGGTAAAAGACTTAAGGTTCTCATCGAGATAAATTGTATAAATAACATAAGTAAATAGTTTTAATTTTCAGTTTTATTCAACAACACTTGTTCATACAAATGATTATTATTTAATTATAATACTACTATAGGTGCAACTAGACCTACATTTTAGGGGGTTCTAAAACTATGTATACTTGACTAATCATAATTCTTACCTTCAATTTTCAAACTATTAGATATAATATAAAACATTTGAAAACAAACACATTTTTAAATAACAAATTTCAACAGAGTATGAACATTATTAAACATTTTTGCGTACAAATCAATTATTGGGGCTTGAATTTTGGGAGTGCTAATTTTGTGTCTGGGGGTGCTTAGCACCCCCTTAATTGTGCCTATGAGTATTACTATAATAAAATACGAGGATAATATAAGTATGGTATTACAAATATTTCATTTAATACAGCTTAATAATTAGAGCAATCGTTTATGCTTAAATAGTAATTAATTAACTAAATATACTAAAACTTAATAATACTAAATAATTTTTAACATTTTATTTTTATTCACATTATATTATGGATTACAACTTGTTGATATACAAACATTGTGTTAATATTGTTTTTATCTTTTTATATTTAATACATTTATAATGAAATCAAGTATTTTATTTGTGGTATAACACAAAAGTACTGCGACATTATACGATAGCTCATAATTTTAATTATATTAAATTGTTTAAATATCATAAGTAAATTAATCAAATTTTGCAAATTTGACGTCAATAGACGACGGTTGTCATTAAGACTTGCACTGCGTTTTGGTGTTTTTTTTTACTTAATTTTTGAACATTTTGTTTTCTAATTAGCTATTTAGCATATATTTCAACTACGTCTATAAAATGCAAAATCCCTCTGTATTCGAACGGCAAGCAGATGCGTTTTAATTCGTTCAAAAAGCCATTGAAATCGTCAATGACTCCCATTATCATATGTGCGGTTTGTAACTGCTGTAGGCTAACGGGACTGAGCCAATCGATTTTATTTTTACTAACACCGTTCAAATCGTTTAGGGTCTCGTCGGCCTTTGCCCTCGCTCTTGCCGAAATGTCATCTATATCTTGGGTGTCGCTTGTTTTTGCAAACTTGAATTCTGACATGATGGCCACGAGGAAATCGTTTTTGAACCCCGTCAAACTCAAAGCGTATTGGATAACTTTGTATACATCGTCTTTGATGTTTTTTAGCGTCTCTCCTTCGAGTATGGTTAGTTGTTTTTCATAAATGTGCAGTACAACCGAAAGGTAGCAATACAATCTGGCATCGACAATTTTGACCAGCATGTGCTGGTGGTCCAGACGACCGTACGGTTCGTGTATCCAAGTGCGGTTCTCCACAAATTTTTTGGTAACGGCCACTTCGAGTTCAAACCGTCGTTTCGCCTTACTCCAATCGACAGTGGCTCCGGTTATTTGTCCGAACAAAAATTTAGTCTCGTCCTTCCAAAATGGTTTCAGGTATAAAAAGTCCGTCGTGACCATAACATAACCGTTGATAAAAAAAAATTCTAAATCCCACCCGAGTTTCTGTAAATCGTCGAACATTTGTTTGTGTATACTCGGAATCTCCGAAACCAAATCGGATTCTAGCGCAGGTAGGTAACCATCGGCCGTACATTTTTTAATGAATTCCGAAACGCCGGATTCCAGTTGGTCGTCTTCGAATATGTTTTTCCGGATATAATGTTCATTCTCACCGAATCGACTGAAGGCGATGACTTTCAAAAAATAAATCCAAATCCATTTGCCCGTCACCAAATCTGTAAACATTAATAAGTGAAGTATAATTCTGACTTCGTTTTCAAGCTGTATTACGTCTGCCTTGATATCAACGAAAGACTGTTGTCCACTTTTTAACTCTTCAATTAAGTTCTTCAGATACGATATTTTTGATTTTGCAATAACACAAAAACTACACTTGATGTCTTGAGCCTTTTCCTCTAATTTACCCCGGCTTTTCAATTTTAATTGGTAATCATCAATATTGGTACACACCGGTTTTGACAGAACTCTCTGTTCAGATAGTTCGATATTAGTTGGATGTCTGTTGAATGTTTTCAAACTATTCAATGTTTGTACATAGTGTTCATCACATATATAAACGAAAAATCGTACAGGGATTATCTAAAATAAAAATTTACTGTTAATATTATAGAAAAGCAAGTCTAAAAAGCCAGCCACTGTACTGGCTTTTTAGAGTCGGGGCATAGTGGGGACGGGAAGTTGACAGGTCTACAGGAATTATTATTAATAAAAGTGATTAAATCACTTGGGTATGAAAACTTAATAGTGCCATTCTGAATAGATGTCCATACAAATATTGTAATGATTTGATACAATTTTTTTTGAGATTTATGTTTAAATATACAAAATCTGCGAAAAACAAAGTTTTCTGGCAATTAAAGAAAAACTGCAGTCTCGAATTTCTTTTTCGTTTAATATGTTATAGATACATATGAGTTCTAACTCCTGACAAATGTTCAACCTCGAAGTCCTAAAATTACGGCTAAAAAATCCAAAAAAACCGGACCCCCCCCCCCCCCCGAAGGGGAATGGGAAACGGGTATAATTTAAATGAGGCGCTCAGAAGCCAAACTTATTAACTCCATAAAATGAAATTTTTCAGGACAGACAGTTAAATTTATTTGAAACAATGTATGTAAGTACAATTGCCAATTTTCTTAGCGTACTATAGTGGTGAAAAATTCAACTATGAAGTTAATCGGTTTGGCCTCTGAGCGTCTCAAATTTGAGACTATTGACGAGTGAGGGCATACGAAATAAACATTCCTCATAAATTTCAACTGGATCAGACTATATTTCTCGAAATTATAGCCAGTAAAAGTTCTAACTTTAAGACTCGTATGGTTTTTCAAATTTTAACTGCGAAGAAGAAAATTCCCCCCCCCCCCGAAAAAAAAGTACCAACTACATGAAATTTATGATTTATAGAGTGGCTACTCGAAGGAATTGGTCCAGTATTAAAAAAAGTTACAGTGTATACATACAAAACAAAAAGCCCACATCATAGTAAAACCAATAGCATAATAAAATATTATAATCCATGATATGTATTTGCTTCAAAATTATATGTTCTAGCCAAACGTGTGCATGACAAACCGCTTATACAACGTATGTTGTACGTTTAAAGTAGGCGCGCTACTGTAGTGTCGTTTTCTGGCCGGACGGCCAACCAAAAAACATGTTCCATGCTAAAATATATATTTTCAAAATAAATGCTTACCGGGTCATCCGCTGATTCGATTCTTTCTATACTTGACGTTGTAGCAAAATAACATAACAGTAATGCAAAAATTTTGGCTATCATTGTTTATTTTTTTATTTTTAATTATACTTTGGTAAAATACAAGGCTTTCCTATAATACAGTGTAACTAATACTAACCTATTATACTCGCATAAGACGTTATGTGGTCGCTTGAGTTTTCATTGTGTTAAATTGTAAAAAAAAATCAAGGTTAAAGAATTTTATTTTTCGAATTCATTCGACAACACTTGTTCACACAAATGGTATTTTTCGCTTTTCCAACGTTGAAACTCTGTCGAAATTAAATTCCGTACAAATTTCTACTAGTTCGACTTTTTATAAAAAAATGTATTACAAACCATGATTTTAAATTGAAAAATATGTACATACTTTGGTTGTTTATGTCGATTTTGCAATGAAATTAATGAATTTTTTGAATTCTCAACACAACAAAGCCCTGAAATGTGTCCAGTGGTTTAGAACACAACTTGTACATCAAAGACACAAACTTGTAAAAAAAATACCCTTCTCAGTCATGCATGGAAGTTAGGAAGTTAGGTAGCTATGGACTTTCGGTTTTTTGTGTGCACTTTATACATTATAATAATTTAAAAATCGAAGGTTATGATAATCTCTATTTCGACTTAGTATAAGCGCACACGGATATATGTTTACATACGTTTTTTTCTTAACTTCTCAACTTTTTATATTATTTTTAAAACAAAGTTATTACATTTTTAATGTGTATCTAGTCAGCAACTTGTACACGTGACTTTGTGAACATTTTTAATATCAGCCGTACGGTTATGTGCAAGGCTTTGAAATAGTTTTTGATTACACACATATTTCTTATTTTCCGACGAGGAACGTGCAGAGAATTCATATTTTGTTTTATAGACAAAGGTTTTTTTTTATGATATATATATATATATAGGCTGAACGTTAACCAAGAAAATCTACGATACGTATCACGCTATATATTTTCTCTCCTCTCCATTCCCACCCTGTGTTCCCCTTTCTTTTTTCCCCTTTCTCCCCTACCATTATTTCATACATTGCATCCTATCATGAAAAATAATAATTTGAACCCCCATTTCTATGCCTATACCTAACATCTTCTATTGACATTTTTGGCGGTGCGAGAGTCATTTTCAAACCCAGCTAAGCTGACTATTGGCCGAGGAATTCCTTGTAACTACAGCAAATATTTATGCTATCAAAACAACATTAACAACAATTTTAACCATGTCCATGTTTGACGCTCCATGCAGTATAATAGTAGTTAATATAAAATATAAAACAAATAATAAATATTTCAAAATGTAGAATTATCAGGTTTTATGACACATAGGCCTAACAACACAGATTTAACTCATTAAAAAAAAAAATTACCACAGTAATCAAAGTGGTTGAAAAAAATTGTGTGTAAAAATAAGACAGTTTTCGGATTTTTTGACATTTCTATGAAATTTCTCCTAACTTTTTAGTTTTTATGGAAAACCAACATTTTCTTACAGTTTATTTTACACGCTGTGTGATCTTTGAAACAAATTCTGTTTGGTTATTTACTGTGTTAAATGTTCAAACTGTTTTCATGGAAGACCAACGCTGTCATAGTTTAGTTGTACAAAAACAATTTTCATAGTTTTACTTCACATTACTTTTGATTAGAATATTGCCGTGGCACGTACACGGAAAATACAATTCAAATCATATAATACTTTGTTTTTTTTAATTTCTGGGCATGCTATTGTCGAAGAGTTTGGACTTTAGAATGAATTTTTATTTAATTCCACTCCTTGAGACGTGTAGCTACTTGAAATTACTGTTTAATGCATTTGTTTTAGGACTTGTACAACGAGGAATTTTGGTTTCAGTTAAAATTGTCAGTGTTGTATATTGTTTTCTTACATCACACACAAATAATTTTCACTAAGACTGTCGCATTGTAAACAAATGAAAAATACAACGGTTGGTTAAACCAACTTTTAAGCTATGATATTTATTTATTTATTTATTATAATTGTATACGGGCTGGGCCCTTTATATATACATGCATATTTGTACAATGAAGAAAACATTAAACACACTTATACACAATTATAAGAACAGTCTTATGATGTCTTACAAAAACAACCGTAGTGTACTAGATTATTTTTTTCTGAGTGAAATCGACTAGTGAAACTTAAACGGTGACATACATACTTGGTTAAATTTTTAAATAAAAAATAATTTGCCGAAAATTTGGAGCAATTATTTCCGAAACTATATAATTAGGTACTTTTTATATGTTTTTTATCTAGATAACAATAATTGTGGAAAATAGTGAAATTTTTACAAGCTTTCAAACAATCGGTGGCATTAGTTGACAACTGTTATTAATCTATACTTTTGACAATAATCTTCTTGCGACACAGCTGTGACGGCTGACGATACACAAATAAGAAATAGTCCGTCTTGGTAGTAGCTTGACGCTAAACAATATATTCACTGTTGAAATTGTTTTCAAAATAGACATTAAAGATTCCATTTTGATGAAGTGTTCAAATATAATTTGACCGTTTCAAGAAAATGTATTTGGCAATTATTGTACAATGTAGAACAAAGGGTTTCCCCGAATTTTCGGTTTAGATTTGTGACCAAACTAGGTCACAACGCTTTAGTGATATTTTTCCTATTTAAATAAATTTCCTAAACACCATCAACGTTTTAAAATCAATAGTTTCTCGCTTCAGCTAAATTTGATACATCTATAACATGCATCGATGACGGTTTAAAAAAAATCTATTAGAAAATTTGTGAAGGCAAGTGCCGAAACTTAGGTAGGTATTTTTCGAAAATATTGTCGGCTTGTTATTTATTGCACGCACAAAAAACAGAATAACCGAATTTGACGGCGACGATTTTACAAAACGCAAGTTCAAATAAGTAACAGAAATAATTTCAACGTTGAAAAAATGTTTACATTATTTTGACGTTGTACGAATATGTACCTAAAAATGGGTACAGCCAACCCCCGCAAAGGTGGAACACATTTAGAGGGAAATTGTTGTTAAAATTATTGACTTGTGTTAATCATTTTAAATATCTAACGAACCGAATGATTATTTAATTACAGTGGCTTCCTAAAAACGTCAAATCCACCGTGTTATATGTCCATTTATTGTAAACATAAAACACTGCATCCTTTGCCCTTAAAATCGAGAAACACCGATCGATTTTTTATAATTTTTCTGCCTTTCTAAACTTTGACTCGCAATAATAACTAATGGGGCAATGGTTGAATCACACAATGTAATACAAAAACAAACAAAAAAACAATTTTTTAAGAATAGTGTTTTTAGCTAGTTTTAAAAATAGACGCCTAACAAATAGTTTCTCTCCAAACTTAATTTTGGTGGTATTTGATTGTGTTCAGTCCAGGTACGGCCAGATATAGAAATGCCATGCTAAAACTCTGTTCAGGAGCAATTACTATTATTATTAGCTGAATTATTTAAAAATTTCGTCGTTGCCTTAGGAGGAAAATGTTGTGTTTAAATGATCTGAAATTAAATACGTGTAATCTGTCGGTTTGTGGTGTTCGTTTATTATTCGAACCTTTTCGAAACTTTTTACCGATATGCATAAAGCATTTGACAAAGTTGATCATTTTATTGTTATAGCTATGGGTGTAGGTACGTGATCTATTATTGTATAGGATACAGTAATTTTTTACTGAGCTAAAAGAGTGTGTTAAATTAAACAACAATAAATCTAAATGACAAAATTAATTACATATAATATGAGAATAATATACTAATAACTGTTTATCTAGGCTTTTGTGTATAAAACTTGACACTTAAATAATTTATTCTAACCAATATAGACAATTTTAGACAATTTTTAGAGCCAATTGAATCGTTGGCTCTAGAAAGCATCATTTGGTGTATGTAGAATAAGGTTCTTTACTACGTGGCACACATTACTTTGATCACTGTTATTCTCTGTTGTTATCTTCGATCAAGCAAAGTTCTTCAAGTTTTAAATATGGAAGAAATGACATTTACCAAGTTATTAATTTCGTTTGCTTTGGTATACTTACACAGTGGAAAAATGAAGGTTTGCGCACGCCCAACAAAACTTCAATGCGATATGTTTTGTCATATTAAACAAGAACAACATTGGCAAGACATGTTGTTCAGCAAGTACGAACATAAAGGAAAATGGGTCCCCATGAACAAAATCGCGGTTATTAATCATAAATTGTTGGTGTCTGATAGGTTGTCATTGGTCTCTCCGATGATGGGCTGCGCTTACGGCGTCAATTTGAACTGGTTTCTTTTATTGACACTTGAAGTGATTAATGAATGCAACAGAGTGCAAGAAAACAACATAGAGCAGGCTAAAGATTGTAAAGTCAAACTGGAAGAGTTTCTCGAAAGAGGTAAGATTGTTATACTAAAATTGATGCGCACATTGATGTTTATCGACTCTGTAAACCAAAAAAACCTGAATGAAAATCGGTTTTACAATGTCTTGTTGCCACTATATGATTTTGTGACCGGACGGGTTCCATTAGAAATTTTTGGCATAATACCAGGAGGTTTAATCGCTAACCAATTGTTAATCGAAAGAGCTGAATCCTTAAGAAAATTTTTGGTTGATACATGTTTTCCAAAATACGAAATATTCAATTTAGCCCAAACAAAAAGTGAATATTTTGGTGATCCAAATAGCATCTACTATTTTTATATTGCCAAATTAGATACTTACATCGGCTATATCTACAATCATTTGAGCAAGCTTGGTTTTCAATACGACATTACCACGGGCCATATTTTATTTGATCCTACCAAAAGTGACTAACAAGCGGCTAATAATAGGAAATTAAATTGCCACGTGCTGTGACTTGATAATTAATTATCGCAATTATGACAAAAGTTAAAATCGTGTTAAAACATTTTTTTCTTTACACTGTAATATTATTTTTGTTTAACCAAATAAAATATTCGTCTACGTTATGTTAAATTATTGTTTCGTTTTGTATTGTTTTTTATCCACCGCTATTTTATGTAAAAGTAATTGTCATATATAAAATATTCCTACAGTGAAATGACGGCCTCGAACTTGATTTTTATACATTTATGCTGTCAAATAAACGGTTAACGATTTATAAGGAAAAAGTATGGCGATAGGTTGAAATCCATTACATTTAAGTTGTCTGGGGCTAGTTTTTTCTCCAAGTCTGTTTGTATAAGTTCGCTTTGCGGCACACGGTTATCTACTACATGATACAATATTCTAAACATTTTTAGTATGAAAGAAAATGCAATCATAAAGTTATTAATATCGTTTATTTTCGCATACTTACACGATGAAAAAGGGTGTGTGACAACTCGTCGGTTCTGACTTAAAATTTGAAATACTTAATAAAAACACGTCCGTGACGATTTTTATTTAATTTGTCGTTGACATTAGGCATATTCGCTAATAGATGGAAGTCTAATTTTACCTAAGCAGGTTTAAGTCCCATAATAATTTTTGAAAAGTTGGTTGAGTCAAAAACTACGGAATGTACTGGATTTGCCTCAACATGGTTTGCGGTATTATTGTTTCTAACTTGTTAGTTTATTTCTCTAACCTTGTGACTGTTGTCGAATCCGGTGGTAGGGTGAATACAGTTTTCCATCGATTTTGCATAAAGCATTTGACACAGTTGATCACTTTATCCTAATAGTTATGGGTAGAGGGGGATCCATTATAGTCGTGGGTACAGTAATTTTTGAACAAGTGGAAATAGTGCGTTAAATTAAACAATAATAAATCTAAATGAATTCAGGTGCGTACAGGTGTTTATCAAGTTGTTTATTTTATTTGTCAATGATGTTAGTTCATCTTTTAAATTTTGTAAATATTTACTTTTCGATAATGATATAAAATTATAGACGTAGACGATAATGTAGACGATACAATTTGTTTGTTTAAACAAAAATTACAAATGTAAAAAAAATGTTTTCGAAAATTATATTACATATAATATGAGAATAATATACTAATAACTAATTATTCCGGTTTTTGTGTATTAAACTTGGCACTTGTACTACGTGACACAAATCGTTTTGATTCTGGTCGTTATCTTCGATCAACCGAAGTCGTTGAAGTTTTTTAATATGAAAGAAATGACATTTACAACATTTTTAATTTCGTTAGTTTTGATGTACTTACACAATGAAACAATAGTGACATGCGCACGCCCAACAAAACTTCAAAGCGATATGTTTTGTCATATTAAACAAGAACGACATTGGCAAGGGATGTGGTTCAGTAAGTACGAACGTGGAGAAAAATGGATCCCCATTAACAAAATAGGGGTTAACAATTCTAGATTGTTGGTGTCGGATAGGTTGGTATTGGTCTCTCCGATGATGGGCTGCGCTTACGGCGTGAATTTGAATTGGTTTATTTTATTGACACTTGAAGTGATTAATGAATGCAATAGAATGCAAGGAAACAACATAGAGCAGGCTAAAGATTGTAAAGTTAAACTGGAAGAGTTTATCGAAAGAGGAAAAAAGGTTATACTAAAATTGATGCGCACATTGATGTTTATCGACTCTGTAAACCAAAAAAACCTGAATGAAAATCGGTTTTACAATGTCTTGTTGCCATTATATGATTTTGTGACCGGACGAGTTCCATTAGACATTTTTGGCATAATACCAGGAGGTTTAATCGCCAACCAATTGTTAATCGAAAGAGCTGAATCCTTAAGAAAATTTTTGATCGATACATGTTTTCCAAAATACGAAATATTCAATATAGCCGAAACAAAAAATGAATATAATGGTGATCAAAATGGCATTTACTTTTTCTATATTGCCAAATTAGATACTTACATCGGCTATATCTACAATCACTTGAGCAAGCTTGGTTTTCATTACGACGTTACCACGGGCCATGTTTCATTTGATCCTACCAAAAGTGACTAACAAGCGGCTAACTAAGACACAAATATTGTATAATATCATTTGTACAGTAGACTATATGCAATTTTTGCTAATTAAAATTTTTTTTTTATAGAAATTGTAACCAATTTATAATTTTAACAAAATTCATTCATACGTGTGTTGTAATGTATTATCAGGTATGACAAAAAAAATTATTGCATTTTGTGATTTTCACGATTTATTAATTGTAATTGAAAGGGACCGTTAATAATAGGATACTTAAACCGGCACTTGCTGTTACTTGATAATTAATTATTGCAGGTATTACAAAAGTTAAAATCGTGTTAAAAGATTTTATACATTGTGCATTTTTGGTTTAATCAAATAAAAATTCATCTACGTTATAATGTTGTTTTGGTTTATATTATGTTTCACCAACCGCTATTTTGTGTAATAAGTAACACTCTGGCTGCTGGGTGGTGTTATTTAGTAACGCGTTATTAATTTGTTAGGTATTCAATATTTTTTTTTTTTAATTCTTTAATTTAAAATTTTGAGTTTTTACAATGTTGTCGGCGGAGAATTTGTTAAGAGTTATTTTAATTTGCAAATAGTTTTATGATAATATTTAACTTGACACTGATTTTAAGACTATTTACCTTTTTTTTTATTTTTTTTTTTTATACGTCTAAACTTTGATATCACTTAACCACACCACCAGTTTCTTAAAAAATCACGTATGAAAGGTATTTTACCGGTTCTTTTGTCGCATCGAACTAAAAAAATTAAAACAAACGAGTATTCCTACCAAGATTCCTTCGGATATCAAAGCGTATTTTAACATTACTGTGAACTGAACTTGGTCGAGAATAGTTCCGGTAAATGCTTGTTACGATACATTCTTGTTCGTACTTGACACAATGGTACGCAAAAATATTAGAAAAAATATAGTTGCCACATTCGTATTAGATATTAGGCGACCTACAAACAACACATTTTTTGTAAAAGTGTATTTTCGGAATACCTGAATTCCCGCAACTTTTTTGGAATAACAAACGAGCTGACGAAAAAATGTAAACCAAGAACAATGATAATGAAGGATAGCAATAACGTACTTATTACAAACGAAAAAAATATTGTGAAAGAATTTAGAGAAGCGTTTAAACAGTTATTGGAAAGTCCAGTGGACACAGCCGAAGAGAATATAACATACCTAACTGTACAACCAGAGGCTAAAATATCAAGTCAAGAAGAAATAGAAGTGGCCATTAAAATGCTTAAAAATGATAAGGCCCTTAGAAGAAGACTCGATCATGGCTGAACTTCTGAAGAACGGTGGAATTACACGGCGACGCTTGTAGGATCGAACCCCTTCATCGACAGGTGGTGAAATGCATGCTGCCAGAAGAACTCGAGCCGGTTGCAAAATACTTAAGCGAAACCCACGTGGAAGGTAATATTATAATAGTACAATTCTGCTATCAATTTGTATTGATAAATCTGATTTAATCGAAGTCGTACTGTATTTTAGATGTATTTCCGTTTTACAATAATTAATTTTGAGTATTCAAATATAATATAAAAAACGTGTAAAATACTTATTAAAAATTAAACATTTTACTATATAATCGTTTCGTTTTGATTTGAAATGAATATGTTATTAATTTTTAATTACAACTAATACAAAAAAATGATATAATTCCTTAATGTTTTTTTTTTAATAACTTACATACTGTTTTTTTTATCATGTACAAAAAGATTGATTTAAAAACGTGTCTTGCATGGTTTTTTTTATGTATCGTTCCTGTTGCAATATTTTCGTTTATTTATTTATTTTGTATTTTAATAAAAATATTTTTTATTTCTTTTGAGAACACTTGAAATTTTAAAAGGTACTTACGTAGTCCGAGTTGCTTGTACTACCAAACCCAAAATGTCTGACCACATAATTAATTATATTCTTAATTAAATGTTAGTTTTCCAAGGCAATGTGTATTAAGGGGCTATATAAAATTATTTATGTATTAATTATACTGTATTCCATTAAGTAAATATTTATATATATTAATATGTATGTATAATTAAGTCGAGAATAAAGACAACCTGTATACTTATGATGCAATTGTTTTACATATTTTTATTATATACATAAATATTGAACAATTTTTAGAGTTAAGATACACTAAAGGTGCAAGATAAGCCATTGGGAAACCACCACGTTTCATGATGTGGATGATTAGCAAAGGGTTGAAAAAAAAATATAGATTAAAAGATAATGTACGCCAATCGTTACACGATAAATGCAATGTTTGGATAAAATACATTAGAAAAAACATAGCTTGATCATAGTTAAATGAAAAACAATTTTTATATAAAACTGAGAATTTTGAAAACAAATTATCAAAAACGTTTACATGATCATTGGCAGGATATTAAAAATTATTATTTGATTTAAATGTTTTATTACCTAATTTTTTCTAGGTAATGAAAAGTGCATTCTATATTTTTTTAAAAACTTCAAATATACATATTTTTTCAATATTTTCCACAAAAAATAAACAAACTTTTATAGAATATTCAAAACGTCTCAACAACACGTTAAATACCTTTTTTTTAATTTAAGTATTGTAACAACTTACATACAAAATATGTAAATATATTTAATAAATAAATTAAAATTGTATTTTTAAAAAAATCATGGATGAAAATAAAATTTTTAAAATATTAATAGAGTTTTGTAAAAATGGCGTATACCACATAAAAATTGAAATTCAATTTGTTCAGTTTGAAGAAACTAGTACCCACAAAAACGAATACACACACGACGTTATAATAAGCACTTACCTA